TGAAACAAAAATCTAATTTTTGGCCTTAGTTTCCTTTATTATCAGGCAATAGGCATTAGAGGCAGAACAATGAGCTCTGCAGTTTGAAGTCGCTCCTGGTTTCGTCGTTGTCCCTAGTTCATCACTCCGAGAGAGGTGCAACTCTTTACCTTTAATTTTTCCTTGTTTGTTTCAGACCAAGAGTGTTATGCGTTGTAGGCAGAACAGTGAGCTCTGCAGTTTGAAGTCGCTCCTGGTTTCGTCGTTGTCCCTAGTTCATCACTCCGAGGGAGGTGCAACTCTTTACCTTTAATTTTTCCTTGTTTGTTTCATACCAAGAGTGTTATGCGTTGTTGTGACTGAAATAGTGAGCTGCTAGTTTGTATCAACTTCTTAGTTGATATGATTTAATCTGTTTTCTTAAAGTTAATTGAGTCTCCTTTTAGTTTGTTCAAGATGCTCTGTAGTTCACTCAGTCATGATTTTTAGTGTGCCTGTTCTGGGTTCTGGGTTCTCGAAATGGGGCTGTAAAATCTGGTTGTTTACCTTTTTCTCCAAGTGTGGCTCAGTTCTCTTTTGAGCATCTTTTAACATACTCATTGTATATCTCCGTATGATTGTTCTCAAATGCTATTTGATGCTATGAGGCTTCAAGTTCTAATGTTCAATTTGATCAAAAATAGTTTGTTTAGGTCCTGATTTTGTTTGAATTTATTTTAGTACAGTTTGTATGGACTACATATTGTAAACAAGTGAGATAGTATACTCATAAACTATTTTGTCGCATTAAAGGAACTGAACTTTACAGACTATATAAGTTACTTTTAAAAAGTTAGTTTTGGACTTACCCTCCAGAGTACAACTGATCACCAAGAATTAGAGAATCCATGACAACAACTTATACTGTTTGCACAGGCTGCCACTGCTCATCTGAATGGTTGTACAGGTTATAGAATCAGTTTAGTTGTGTTTTTAGCTTCCCTGCTAGGATATTGTGTATGTGCAGGTTATAGAATCAGTTTACAGTATATACAGTACTGGAAGTTCTGGAAATTCTAGAAATTCTGAAAATTCTAGAAACTCAGCTGTTGCAATCTGCTATTATATAGTGCTGGAAATTCTGAAAACTCAACTGCTGCAATATTATACAGTGCTGGATATTCTGGAAAATCCTGAAATTTTGGAAACTAAGCTGCTGCAATATTATACAGTTCTGGAAATTCTGGAAACTTTGCTGCTGCAATATTATACAGTGCTGGAAATTCTGGAAATTCAACTATTGCGCTATAATACAGTGCTGGAAATTTTGAAAAGAGTTGAGCTTTTCTATAACTTCGAAAGAGTTGGAAATTCTGGAAAGAGTTGGTGTGTGAGTTCTGCAGATTCACAGGACATAGGAAGGACAATGTTTCAAACTAATAAGCTATCCACCTGACTTCAAGTCTAAGAAAAAAACTTATAGTGAGGCATCTGGGCTGCCTATGATATGATAGATGTGCAAACGTATGTAGGTACTGAAATACAAGCTAAAGGAACCTTCACATATGGCTTGAACACTAATGTACCACTATCTACTAGGAGTCATCAGAATGGATCCAAGAGTACTAATGACTATGCTAAACAGTTGCTATAAATCAGTATATGATGTAAAGTTCTAGTATCAGTGTGTTTTAGCATCTTTTTACTTCATCAATAGAATTCCAAGCAGTGTTGTCTATAGTTATCTGTCAACCTTATATGCACTTCCACAACTTTATTGTTATGAATTGGTTTGGCTTACTGTGAATTTAAGCATATTAAATACATGATTTATTTCACTAACTTATAATTTTATTTTAAATGTGCAGGAAAATGCCGGTAATTGAATTTGAATTGTGGCCAGAAGTAAACTCGATCTATTGTAGTGAACGACGAAGAGTTTTTGTACTATTGTCATATATGTTTGAATGCATTTGGTTTTGTGGAATTTATTGATAGTAGAGATCTTTAAGCAATCAATTTCTAAGTATTGGTTGTACAAGACATGTTTCTCGAAGTTTATTTGAAATATATAGCTTCGATTTAATTATTAGTTAATTTTGTGCTTAAGGTCACTTGCATATTTATTTATGTGACTATTGAATATATGCAAATAAAAATTATTTGCATTAAAAATAAAAAAAATTGTGGCTACAAAATTCTACACAACATTGCCACACTTCAAAAGTGTTGCTGTAGGACTTCCAATGTTATCTTGTACATAAGAAAAGTTACACTTTATAAGTGTTGTTCTAGATGAGATATAAAAGTCAACACTTTTTAAGTGTGACTAATAACAACGCAAAGGCAACGCTTTTAAGTGTAGTATAATTAAAAAAAGGTGTTGCTAATGAATCACTACAAAGCGTCCCTTTATACCTCTTTGGCCACGCTTTATAAGTGTAGCTGTGATGGCGACATTTAAAAAGTGTTGCCTAATGTCAAAGGTTACGCTTCTTTTGGGCACCCCCTAAAAAGCGTTGCTTAAAGTTCAAAAGTGTAGCCTTTTATCAAAGGCCACACTTTTTGCTAGTTTAGGCTACACTTTATTGGTGTGGCTAAAAGCCTAAAATGGTGTAGTGTTAGCTTTAATATAGTCATAGAAAATTCCATATATTTTGAAAAGAAATAAGAGAGTGATAGAGCCTCTTTACCTTCTATTAGGCTTGTGTGCTAATTATGGGTGAGCTGGATATGGTATTGAAAAGTTCGATTCAATAATTTGGTTTACGATTTTTAAAAATATCATATTTTTATCATATCAAATTAATTTGGTATGGTTCGATATTATGCAGTACGGTAAATTGGTTATCATAGATTGATGGCATAATACATAAACATAATCCTTAACTTGGCATCAACCGACAATTATGTTCTTTAACTTTGAATGTGCACAAGTAGGCACTTAAACTTGTATAAAATTGAACAAATAGACACATCCGTCCTACATGGCACCCTACATGAAAAATTTGTATCCTACGTGGCGTATGCCATGTAGGACACGTGTGTCTATTTATTTAATTTTATACATGTTTAAGTGCCTACTTGTGCATACTCAAAGTTGGAGGGCATAGTTGTCCGTTGAAGCCAAGTTAAGGGTCATGTTTATGTTTTATGCCTAGATTGATCAACTTCAACTTACATAAATCCGTATAATAAAGAATTATGACTTTGGCTTTTCAAGACACGTCTCAAAACTCAATTATGTCATATCAATACCTTATACATATAAAAATATTCAAAATAAAGTATAAACAACACTTTTTTTTTTATCAGTCACTCAAAAAGAATATTTAAATTAAGATAAAACAATCAAAATTTCAACATCTAAAAAACTGTTGTATATATTTGCAAGTATTGTATATAATTACATATATATGAATTTTATATGTAACTATATACTTCAATATAATATTCAATATTATTTTTTATAAATATCAAATATCATATCGAATATCAATTTTTAATACATACTAAATATTATAATATCCAAACCGCAATATTAAAATTTTTGATTTCAATATGATATTCAATATCTACCATATCATACTTGCCCTTGTGCGAACTTTCACCATCAAAACTTCCCTAAAACCGATCTCAAAGAAGTTAATATTAACTAACCTTCTGTTGCATTTATTATTCATATCTAACCAAACTTCAGATTAAGATGGTGATTAGACAGGAATAGTGACAGAATATTAGCAGATTCATGGAATTAATTTAATTTAGTGTATAGAAGAAAAAGTTTGGTTCTTAAAGCCAAAAGTAAGGTATGTGTCACTCAAAAAAAGGAAATAAATCCAACAGAGTGAGTGTGAATATCTTTTGTATTTCTTAGATAAATAAAAAAAATATTATTTTTGTTTACAAAAAAATTGGATCAACAATGTTAAGATGGAATTTACATATGATTGTTTAAGATTATTGGGGAAGGCCCAAAGTTTAAGTGTTAGATGTGTTTAAGGCGCACAATTGAATTTCTAGGCGTTTTACAAGTGCCCTATCTCAAGGTGAGTCCATAAAAACATTTTTATAACCTTACTTATAATTTATGATGCATGGTAAAAGATTCCTTAAATTATTAAAAATTGTTTACTCCGCCCTCGTAATCCTCATCTACTCTCTAGCATGCCTCATCTTTACTTGAGTCCGGAGCCAAAATGGCAAAAAAAATTGTCAAAAATTCCAAAAGGGCACATCAATTATTTTTTTAACCAAAAGGGCAAAATCGCTCCTGACAGAGCGATTTCCTTCTGACAAAATTGACGCCGTTACTCTGTTAAATTATTTTTTTTAACATTACTGCCCTGCAGCGTTTTCTCAAAAAAAGAATAATTTAATTTGAAATCGCTACTATAGCAGCGATTTTCTTAAAAAAACTTTTTTAAAAAATTTAAAATCGCTTGCAAGGCAGTGATTTCATTTTTAAAAAATTGCATTTTAAATATATTGCTGCCTTGAAGAAAGCAGTGATTTAAAATAAAATAAAGTAAATCGCAGCCTGGCAAGCGATTTCTTAATAGAATTTTTTTTTAAACTTTTTAAGAAAATTGCTGCTATAGCAGCTATTTCAATTTTTTTTTTTAATTAAAACGCTGCTATAGCAGCAAATTTTATTTTATTTTTGAGAAAAACGCTGCAGGGGCAGCGTTGTTAAATTTTTTTTTGATGAAATCGCTGCCGTTAAGAAAAAAATTTGGACGAAATTGTTGTTGGGGTAGCGATTTTTATGTTTTTAACGGAGTACGGCGTCAATCTGAAATCGCTCCGCCAGGAGCGATTTTGTCCTTTTGGTAAAAAAATAAAATTGATGTGCCATTTTGGATTTTTTGACAATTTTTTTTGCTCTTTTGATTCCAGACTCTCTTTACTCCTCCCTCATAGCCTCCATCCTAGCCCCTTCAGCACACCTCATCTTCAACCGTGTTTCCTATTTTTTCTTCTTCTTTGAAGTTTCAACCTAAAATTAAATATACTTACGTGTGGCTGGCTAAGGATTCCTCATCTATGAGTCATGTAAAGTTTATTGACAGACAAAATTATTAGATATATGTACAATTGGATTTATGAATTGATTGATACACATGCTACCATGTACCAACAGATAATAATTTAATTTCCCACACATTATGCAGTGCAATTTTTATCATGGCTTGATGTCAGATAATATACTGATAAATATCGGGACCACTGTTACGAGTTCCCGATTAATAACTGTTAGTGAAAACTTACAAGATAACAAAAATACAAGATTACAATTGAAAATAAAATGAAGAAAACAAATCTCTTCAGGCTGAGGCGCGGATATCTCGCTCTCTTTAAGGAGATTCAAGCCCACTGCAGCAAATGTTTTCACCGGTCCAGCAGTAGTCCTTCTTGACTTGTCCCCTCCAGGATACAACAGCCTAATCACAAAATATAACTCAACAACTCTGGACAAGAGTTGAGTCCAAAGCTCCACAAAAGAACACCTCCTTCAACTAATAAAACTCTCTTTTGACAAACTTTATGCACTCTATATTTTCTTGTGTATTGTGTGTACCAAATCAAATGAAGACTACCACTATTTATACTAGAAGAAGTCTTCCTATCAATGAATAAGAAGATAAATGGTGTAGTAAATAGTGAAGATAAATGGCCTTAGGAGTTACATAGGTTACAAGGATAATGGAGGAATTAAGAGTGACAATCAAGTGCCCACCAATGCCATCAACGGCTAATACCATCAACGGCATTTTGAAAACTGATGTGCGTATGGCACTAACTCCAATTTGGAGTAATATAAGATAGTAATGCAGCAATTATGATTGTCATTACATGCATCCAACATTTTGTAACATATGAAATGTGAGAAGTCAACCAATGGCCAGAAAACCAATGTCTGTGTGACCATGCAGAATATTGCAAAATTTAATATATTTTAGAATATTAAAATGTCACACTAACAATAACAATTATAATTCAAATTATAGTATCACGAGTTTAAATTTCAATAATAAAATTAAATGTGTAAATACAAGGCTTTATCACTCGAATTACCTTTATGTCATACTTCAATAGTTACAAATTAGCTATATTCACTCTATTAACTCGAATTTATCCAAGGCCTTACTAATTAGCGATCAATCGTCTCAATGCTACACTTTAACAGTTATAAAATAGTTGTAAGTTGTAACGTACAATTTGACGTTTTCTATTTTTTTTTTACTAGATATGAAAATATTTCCTCACGTTCCCTTATATGTCAATTTCATTGATAATTTCCTTGAAATTTGTAGCACTGATGTCACAGGACATATACTATCTCCGTCTCAAATTATTTGTCATGATTCTCTTTATACGCATCTTTAATTAAATAGGAGGAGGTTTTAGTTATTTTATCTTTTACTGATATTTGAACAATCATAACAACGCATACTTGAGATGTTTGTAGTCTTCAAAATAATAACTGTTAAGAATAAAATGAGATAATTTTGTCTTGCACTTCTCAAACGATAAATAATTTAAGATAATTATTTTTAAAAATCACGATAAAGGAAAAAAATTCTTTAAGCAAGCACATTAATAATAGTATACTACTCCAATAACTAACCAACGAACTTTTAGCCTACTTACATTAGTGACATGTGACTCATCCTATTGCAATATAAACAAATAATATCTGTCACATCAGTTTGTTTTTTTCAATCCAAACTAATCCCTTTGTTTTTTTTTGTTTCCCGTTCGACAACCGGAGCCCAAATAAAAATTACGTGCAATTAGGAGTAACATATCAAATGTTATTTTTAGTCATCGTAAAGAAGAATATGTTGTTTTACACATTCATTTTTAATAAAAGATTTTAAGTTTGAATCTGTATAAAGTTTTTTATACATATATATATAAATGAAATCTTATAATTTGAATTTAAATTAATTAATTCGATTCCAATACTAATATAGAAAAGGAAAAAAAGGTTAAAACAAGTTTTTAA